GGAGGGACAGCCAGGAACAAGGAAGCTGCAGCTGCAGCAAAGGTTCTCCCAGAAGATGCAGACCTGACTGAAGACCCAGGCTGGCCTGAAGGAAGGTGAGAGATGGGGTCAGCAGCCTGCATGAAGTCAGCTGTATGAAGGATCTTGCAGCAGCTGTGGGAAGGCTGGAGTGACAGTGACAGGGAGCTGATGGGCATAAGTCTGGAATTGAAGAAACATTTGGGAAGTCCTGTAGGAGGGATGTGAGGTGGAAAACAGGTGTCCCAGTTCACCCATGAACACAAGCAAGCATAGACAGGACCCTGTGGTCTAGAGAGAGGATACTGAAGGTAAAGGATGAGAACCGTGAGGAAAATTACCATGAAATTCTCCACATTATTCTACACAACAAAGTTGCAATGCTAATACATTAACCCTGCAAATATTGTTTGAATAATTACTAAATCATTCTTTCTGTCACAGATGCTGCGCTTATGTTGTTACTCAATTTGCAATCTAGTCAAAAGACAAAGGAAAACTGAGTAGTGCTAAATGAAGTGTTATTGGAACCTATAGAAATAAAGAATTAATCCTTCAGGGGAGAAATGGGGAAAGAGCCAAATGTAAGCACATATCTCCGTGCTTTTGAAAGAAAAAAAAATAAACAGTGAAGGATATGTACGAAACCAAATTGTTAGTAAAGATACAGACGCACCCAACCAGATGGCATATGGAAGAACTACAAGTTCCCTAGATAGCCATTGGCTCCTGGGATTTAAGAATACTGATTAAAAGGTATATGGGGCTATACTTTACAACCTTGTATGAGAGGAAGTTGCATATACATATCTAGGTATGTTCAATCTTAATTCTCTCTACAGAGCATTTTCGGTGGATTCTAAGGGTTGAAATTTAAGCTATGGGTACTAAACAGCCAATAAACATTATTAAAAGAGATCTAGAGCTGGGCACTGGTGACTCATGCCTGCAATCCTACTTATTCAGAAGGCTGAAATCTGAGGATTGCAGTTCCAGGCCAGTCCATCCTCGACAGGAAAGTATGTGAGACGCCTCTCTCCAATTCACTACCAAAAAGCTAGAAGGAGAGCTGTGTTCAACTGGTAGGTTGTTATCCTTGAAAAACAACAACAAAAAGCTCAGGGACAGTGCCCAGCCCTGAGTTCAAGCCCCAGGACCAGCACACACACATAAAAAGAGGGCTGAGCATTGTGGCTTATATTCTAGCCACTTAGTAAGAAGAAATTGGGAAGATTGTGATTTGAGGCCAGCCCAGGTAAAAAGTTAGACTGTCTCCCAACAGAACAAGCTGTATATAGCAATGCCAACTACCCAGGAGATATCGATAGGAGAATCATATTCCAAGGCCCACCCTGGGCAAAATGCAAGACTTTATTTGAAAAATAATTAAAACAAAAGTGCTAGGTATGTGGTTCAAGTGGTACAATACAGGATTAACCCCCAACGGGCCTTGACTTCAAACCCTAGTGCTACAAACAAGAAAGAGGCATGATCAGATTAGTATTCACAAAACTCTCATGGGCAAATGTGTGAAAGAAATGTAAGAGTGCAAACAAGGAGAAGAAGAATGACAAGAAGATGGTCACCAGTAAACAAGATTATAGCAGGCTAAAAGAAAGGAACCACCTGGAGAGGAGGGACTGCCCTAAAACTCTCTTCCTCCATTTATTGGCTTCTGCAATTGGATCCATTCTTTCTTCCACTCGAAGATTTCCATTGTCATCCTCCTCCATATGTTCTGTCACCCCATTTCTGTTTTTTGTAATCTTCCTTTACTGCATCTATTCCCACTTATTTGTATCCAAATTCTTCTTTCCTCTACTCTTAGTTTTGTTGCTGTTGTTGTTGTTTAGGGTCCAGTTGTGGGGCCTGGGCACTGTCCCTCAGCATTTCAGCTCAAGGCTAGCGCTCTACTACTTGAGCCACAGCGGCACTTCCGGCTTTTTTCTTTTTGCTTATGTGGTGCTGAGGAACCGAACCCAGGGCCTCATGCATGCAAGGCAAGCACTCTACCACTGAGCCACCTTCCCAGCCCCATGGGGACCATTTATGTGAAGGGCTCTATGTGCACCAAAACACTAGGTAGTATGCATCGTACTGGACTTATATTGAATTCACAACACATGTGAGACATTTATCCACCCCTGTGAAGAAATTCCAGTACATGAATATGTTTCAGAAGGGCTGATTACTCTTGAACCTTCAAAGAGGGGTAGAATTCAGATAGGTGAATAGGACCAAAAGAATCCCGGTGCAGTACCAAGCAGATGAAAGATACTGAAACCTGAGGAGCCAGGATCAGTGCAGAGCAGAGCAAGGAATAAAAGGAATGTAGTTAGGAGAGAAGGTTCTGTGTCCATCAGACCTTGTTCAGAATCTGCATTTGGCTACTGATTTTGGGTGATCTTTTTCTGCTTCAGTTTACTTAGGTGTGAGGTGGAGATCATTCATAGTATGTAGAATGTCTTTAGAAGCATTAAATAGGATGGTGTTTATAAAATGTTTAGTGTAGTGCCCAGGACATAACGAACACTCCATAAACCTTTACTACTATGATGAGAATGACTCCAATAACAATAGATGATTATTGTGGCCCAATAAGTGGCAAAGTGGCCTAGAAGGAATAGTAGGAGCCTGTTTGTGAGGAATCACTTGAAAAATCCATCTACATATGCTCTACATATGTGGATGATAAAGATCCCTAAAAAAAACCTTTTTAAAAAAAATTTTGAACCAAAGGGAAGGTGTGTTTTAGGAAGCAGCCATATGTACTATGTCATAACTTAACAGGAGCCATAATCTTAATAAGGACAAAGGCAATAAGGTAAGATCATGAGTTAGGTGCCAATGGCTCATGCCTGAAATCCTAGCTACTCAGGAGGCTGGATCTGAGGATCACAGTTCAGAGCCAACCCAGGTAGAAAAATCCTTGAGATTCTTATCTCCAATTAATCATCAGAAAACCAGAAGGTGAACTGTGGCTCAAAGTGGTAGTGATTGCCTGGAGCAAAAGATATCAGGGACAGTGCCCAAGCCCTGAGTTCAAGCCCCAAGACCAACCGGAAAAAAAAAAAAAGAATGAAACATGCTGTTACCATTTCAGCAGTCAGCAATCAAGTGGGTGGGTTACGGTTGGTGGGTAAGATCAGAGGTTTTTCTTTTTCTTTTTTTTGAGGGGGTGTCCGGTCATGGGGCCTGAACTCTGGGCCTGGGCGCTGTCCCTCAGCTGTTCAGTTCAAGGCTAGCACTCTACCACTTGAGCCACAGTGCCACTTCTGGCTTTTTTCTTTTTCCTTATGTGGTGCTGAGGAATCAAACCCAGGGCCTCAGGCATGCAAGGCAAGCGCTCTACCACTGAGCCACCTTCCCAGCCCAATCAGAGGTTTTTCAAAGAGAACCCATGCCATTGAAGCTGTTGCCCATCCAGTTTAGCTTTGGTGATGTGGTAGAGCAGGGCCACAAGACCAGAGACAGAGTACATGACCTCTGTTGTCTCACAATTACTGCCTCAGGAAGTACCTGCCGACTTTTGCCTGTCTCCACACTGCCTTCCTTGATGTGCCTGAATAGGTCCATTCGAGCCCTGTTTCAGCACATCCTTTCCATGGAAGAACTTCCAGGGGCTCCCAGTGAGTCATAGGGATGCTTTTCAAATCGTCATATGTGGAGAGTTGGGAAAAAAAACACAGAATTAACCAAGAGCCTCTTCCTGGATCATCATCTCTACATAAATACTGGAGGACAAATATGAAAATAAGCATGACGATGTTTGTGGTATTTGTAATCCCCCATAGATCATTTAAGCCACCATTCTGTTGATAGTTCTCTAGAGAGGTTGGCTTTTACAAAATTTGTGTTCACTTTTCTTGGAAGAACATCAGTGCATTTGCTGTGGTCCTCCAATGTATCCAATGAGAATCAAGGACAAGAGAGCTTTTCATGTTCTACTGTCTCCCTAGGGAAGGGCCTCAGGACACATTTTCCTGAAAAAAAGAATTGCAATCTAAGGAAATGGGTTTTAATGCTAAAAACACATTTTTTTTTTTTTTAAGTGTTTATTCTAGAATTTTCACTTAGTGAACTGAAGGATTGCTTTCCTCTTTGTATTTTTTACTGTAACATTGGTCTTGCCAGTTAGAGTTTTACAAGCCACAATTTTTAAAATGTTCCCAAAGACTGTCCAATGATATGTGTTTTATAGGAAATTTGCAGAAAATTTGTTTTGAGCTTCTTAGGGTTCTCCAGTCAATATCCAATGGCAACAAATGTCATTAGAGAAATATTTATGTGGAAAATGTGGGAAGCACTAATCATCCCAGCTTCCTTACCTCATCTTTCTTTTCTTTTTCTTGGTCCAAGACTGGAACTCAAACTTAGTACCTTATGTTTTTGCTCACTGACTGGCACTCTATTAACTGAGCTGTACCTCCAACCACCTCTACATCTTTATATACAAATTTGTACATAATAATTTCTTCTAATACCTGCTTTTCTTCCTTCAGCAACAAAGCCTAGATGGACCTTCAAACTCCTGTCATGAAGCATTTGTTCATTTAAATCGTTAGTCTCTATTTTGCATCATCTCACCATTTCCTCACACAGGTTCGTAAGGTTTGTGGTCTTGGGTACATGTTGGCATTAATGGATTCAAGTAGATTGGGGGAAGGGGGCCCGTGGTTCACATGGCAGTATGATAGGCATAGCAGCTATGAAAAGGAATCAGAGGTGAATCTGAGCATAGCATAGCATGGTCCAAAGTCAGGAAAAATCTAACCTACAAATGCATGGATTATGGATTATGTTGGATGTGGTTAGGGGCATGAATCTGTGGAGCTCTATGCCTCACAAAAGGCTTTCCTCAGCTGAATTAGAATGACTTTGGTCAATTCAATCCAATTCTCCAAAGAAAAATGATTACAATTGTATAGTTTTTTTTTTTGTTGGCTCTCTTTCTCTCCCTATAGGCACATGGGGAAAAGCCCATGGAACCACAGAACACCACATGGGTGTCAGAGTTTGTTCTTCTAGGGTTCTCACAGACCCAAGGGTTCCAGAAATTTCTGTTCCTAGTGTTCCTGCTTGTCTACATCATCACGGTGGTGGGAAACCTCCTCATCATGGTGACAGTGACACTGGACCCGCGCCTCCATATGCCTATGTACTTCCTGCTCCGAAACCTGGCAGTCATAGACCTCTCTTATTCCACAGTCACCTGCCCAAAGATGCTGGTAGACTTCTTTCATGAGACCAAGACTATCTCCTACCAGGGCTGCATGGTCCAAATCTTCTTCTTCCACCTCTTGGGAGGAGGGACTGTCTTCTTTCTCTCAGTGATGGCCTATGACCGCTACGTAGCCATCTCTAGGCCCCTCCACTACATCACCATCATGAACACGCGACTGTGCGTGGGGCTGATCATGGCTGCCTGGATAGGGGGCTTTGTCCATTCCATTGTCCAGCTGGCACTCATGCTCCCATTGCCCTATTGTGGCCCCAATGTCCTAGATAATTTCTACTGTGATGTTCCCCAGGTGCTGAGACTCGCCTGCACGGACACCTCCCTCTTAGAGTTGCTCATGATCTCCAACAGTGGGATGCTGGTTTTCATCTGGTTCCTCCTCCTCCTCATCTCTTATACTGTCATCCTGGTAATGCTCAGGTCCCACTCAGGGCAGGCGAGGAGGAAGGCAGCTTCCACCTGTACCACGCACATCATTGTGGTGTCCATGATCTTCATTCCCTGTATCTATATCTACTCCAGACCCTTCACACCTTTTCCCTTAGACAAGGCTGTATCCATCAGCTACACAGTGATGACTCCCATGCTCAACCCCATGATCTACACTCTGAGGAACCAGGAGATGCAGGCTGCCATGAAGAGATTAGCTCAACACTTCACAAAAGGCTGTAGGGAATAGTGAACTTCAAACAGATTGACTTTACATGACTTGGAGATAGTCCAGGTGAAAAGTGGGGCAAATTTTAAGTACAATAAATCAGACTACACTAAGATTTCTTCAAGTCCTACTTCCATGTCAAGCATTTTCACACCTGTTTTTTATTTTGTTTGTTTGTTTTGCTGGTTGTGGGGCTTGAACTCTGGGCCTGGGCACTGTCTCTGAGCTGCTTTTGCTCAAGGTGAGGGCTCTACCACTTAAGCCAAAGTGCCACTTCTGGGTTTTTTTTTGAATTGTTTATTGGAGATAAGAAGCTCATGAAGTTTCTTGCCTGGACTGGCTTCATGAAATGTGATCCTCAGATCTCAGCCTCTTGGGTAGCTAGGATTACAGGCATGAGCCACTGTCATCCAGCTGTATTTTTGCATCTTTAATTCATTCTTGCAAACCATCACTGTAGCCCTGTACTATTGGCTTATGCCTGTAATCCTAGTTACCCTGAAGTCTATGAGGATCAAGGTTCAAACCAGACCAGATAGGAAATCCTATGTGACTCTTATCTCCAATTAAGCACCAAAAAAAAAAAAAAAAAAGAAAGTGGAGCTATGTCTCAATTGGTAGAGTTCTAGCTGAGCAATAGAAGCTCAGGGACATCCCCCAGGTCCTGAGTTCAAGCCCCTGGATTGGCACAAAAAATCACTATTTTTATTACTACTATTACTACTACTATTACTACTACATGTTAATTTTGAAAATGAGAATATTCCGAGCATAGCAAAATTTGCTACAAAAGAGTGACCAAACTTGGTTCCACTGACTTTAAGTTCAGTTGCCAGATATGGAGGTATTTGAAACTCAGACTCTCTAACCTCCTAGAAACCTTTCAGATTTCCTCATCTGTTGGTTATCTTGATGTTCAATGGTTATGTTTCATTTTAACGCCAGGACACTCATATTCTTTTCACTTCCTTGTCTCCCCACATCATTCTACACCCTAGTATTTACAGAGTGGCCTGATTTTCAACATTGTATAGACATTTCCCACAGTAGCACTTCCCCTTCATTTTTCCTCTTTCTCTGTCAGATACCTCTTCAATATCTTTAAACCATGCTCCTAACCTGCTATGTGTCCCCCAGAAGATTAGATGTTTGAGGAAATTTAATCCCCAAATTCACCTGTGATTGGTGTTTAGAGGAGAAGCTTTTGGAGGATACTTAGGGTCAGATGAAAACATAAAGATCTATAAGAACAAGAAAGGAGACTTGAGCCTACATGCTCCTTATTTTTTCCTATGATGCCCTCTTCCATGTTATGATAGGGCAAGACATTTCTCACTCAAAGTTAATGTCCTTCTATAATGTTCTTCCCAGTCTCCAGAATTGTGAGAATTAAATTTCTTGCCTTTCTAATGTACTTAGTCTATGGTGTTCAGTAGTGAAAATAGAAAAAAAGAATAAGACAATGGCCAATATAATAGTATTAAGAGGAAGAGCCTTTAAGAGGTTACTAGACTGGACAGGCTCCTCCTTTGTGAATGGATTCCTTGTCCTTTGGGTTTCTGCCATGTAAGGACACAGTAATGCTTCCAAGGCACCATCTTGGAAGCAGAAGTCATTATTTGGTCTGCGGTAACTGGTGTCCCAGTGGAATAGGTTCAGATACCCATCCTGGAAAGAGAGTCAGAAATGAATGCTGGTGAAGTCAGAAAAGGTGCTTTATTCTCAATATGGCAACTCTGGGAAGAACAGAGATCTGTCTTCAAAGTGCTTAGAGTATCTTGATGTTATTTGGAAAGAGAAACAAAGGCAAGGGTTATTGGTTTTCATGGAAGCAATCCTGGTCAGAATAATCAAATGATACTAGTTTAACAACTGGGAAAGGAGAAACTATCGCTTTTATTTTATTGTTTTTTTTTTCTGGTACTGGAGCTTGAACTCAGGGCTGGGCACTATCTCTTCACCTTTTTGCTCAAAGCTAGTGCTCTACTACTTGAGCAACATCTCCATTTCTACCTTTTTGGTAAGCATTTCATGGACTTTTTCTACTAACTGGCTTAGAACCATGATCCTCAGATCTTAGCCTCTTGAGTAGCTAGGATTATAGGCATGAGCCACTGGTGCCAGGTTGGGGGAATTATCTTAGCCAACTATATTATTCAAGTTGAAGACCAAAGGACAGGGATTTTCAAGTTAGTGGATTTGAAAGTTTGAAATTGGGGCTATGTCCATTTTACAATATGCTAACTGCTAATTCTGCTTCTGTAAACCTGCTTGCGCTAACAATGACCCTTCCCCTCCCAGAAATAAGTTAAAAAGTTTCAGAGTCCAGATGCAGGCCCTGGGACAAGGTCTGCAAACATAGATAAAGAACAAAAGAGTATGTTCATCTTAATTCCTGTTTAGAAACTCTCAGCAAGGGACTCAAGATAAAGACCCTCTGGCGAGCCCAGCAAACTAGGTCAAATGTCAACCAATTGCGAGCCTGTAACTATGTGGACTCCCCTCCAGAGAAACCTCCCCCTAGGGAACCAACCAGTTTTCAACAAGTGTTACAAAACTTCCCGCGCAGAGCTGAGCCAATCCTGGGGAGCCTGGGGTCTTATGCTAATCCTGTGGTTTTTGTCTTTAAAAGTGCCTGTAACCCTGCTCGAGGCTTCTTGTCTGCCCTGGACAGAGAGCCCTTTTGCACAAATGCCTAATAAACTCCTCTTGCTTGTTGCATCTGCTGATTTGGAGTCTTGGTTCTTGGGGTGCCCTCCCGTTGAAGAAAGCATCCCAGTGAGTCTGGGGTCTTTCACTTGGGGGCTCGTCCGGGATGCAGGCGCCCCCCCCCCCCAGACCCCAGATTCCAGGACCGGCTGGAGGTAAGATAGAGCTCTTGTCTTTCGTGTTTGTCGTTTTTGTTTTATGTTCTGGGATCCAAATCTGTATTTGGACTAGAGGGTAAAGCAGACGTGCCCAGTACCCTAGTCCTGCCCTGGAGTCCTTCTCTAGGGTCGTCTGAATCTGTATTTGGGCCAGAGGGAAAAGCAGACATGCCCAGTACCCTGGTCCCACCCTGGAGTCCTGCTCCAGGGTCATCTGGAGGAAGAAAGAGATCCGAGTGTCTCTCTGTTCTGGGGAGTTAAGGCGCGGCCAGCCACTCCCATCTGTAATTTCCTTCCTCATCTGTACTCGGTTGCCGCGAGGCGTCTGGTTCTGTCTGTCTCTGTTTAGTGTTACTCGTTTTTAATGTGTGTTTTGTATTCTCTATAGAGATGGGACAACAAGTGAGTCCACTCCTAGGACATCTGAGACCTTGTCCTAGTTCGTTTGAAAACAAAAACCGCTGGTTCTGCTTTTGTAACTTGCTTGTTTGTCAATTATGAAACTGCCACTGACCACCTGCAAGTGGCCCCAGTTAGATCTCAGCCTCGGGCCTTGGCTTGGGGCGTCTGAGCGTGGGGGAGAACCTGTCAGTCTGAGGGGATGGCCACTAGGAATTTTTTTTTCCCTTGCCCCAAGATGACTGGGAATTCTCCTCCACCTTGGAAGGCCCCTGAGTCAACGTCTGCAGGAATCTAAGAGAAAAATCCTCCGGAGGTGAGTAGGGGGGGTTGAGTCCCCTGGTAAGTGAATGGTGGTGAGATGTCACCCCATTCACTGAGGCCTGATTTTGTCTTTGTGGCCACTTGTTTGTCTTGTTTACTTTAGTGTGTGTGTTTGTTTTATATTTTCTGGGGTAGGAAAGTTCTGGGTGAGTGTGGCAGGCTCACTCAGCAGACTCTGGATTCAGCTTGCTGAATGAGAATAGCACAGAGTTCCGGTAGGGATAAATTGGGTCCCATTAGTCCCCAACTCAGCCTTCAGTCCTTGTCTAGTTCTGTTTTAGAATTGGTACCAGTTTTAAATGTGGATTCTTGGTTTTTGTGTTTATCTGTGTTTTTGTTATTTATTTAAACATCTCTGGGGGAATAAAAGTTCCAGCTGGGCTTGGTCACTGACCTGCTATGCCCACCCTCCCTGTGAGGCATGGAAGGTTACTGGGCTAGTTTGGTTCCCTTCAAGCCTAAGGCTGCATTTTCTCCTTGTGGAGGCTGCCAGCAGGGAGGGTGTAGAAGGCTGTGTGCCTAGTTTGGACTTTTTCAGCTAGTCCTGACAATGTAACAATTTGTAAAGTGCTCTTGTGTAAAATTGGATTAAAAAAAATCTGGCCAGTTTAAAGTGATCCCCTCCCCCAGCCCTCCTCCAACAGAAGGGATTCAAAAGACTAATTAGTGAATTGCCTTGCTAGACAAACAAGCTCTGGGAAAATAAAGCCCAACAAAGGTACCTAGTTTAAAAGAAATACTGTCTTAAATTTTTGTTTAATAACTTTAAAAGGTGTACGTACGACTGATTTTGATTTTTGCCCGCTTTAAGATCTGTGTGAGTGCTTTGTGTGAGTCTGTGAACATGTTCAAAGAGAAAAATTGTCAGCATGCTGTAACAATTGGGTGAGTTTAAATTTAAAAATTCAAGAGGTTATGAGGTTTGGACATTACCAAAAAATTTTTTTAAAATCTTTGCATTGTTTTTAATGGCTTTGTAAAATTTCTTTAACTTGCAAATTAGAAAATCTGGTATTTTAAAATGCATAAGACTGTTTATACTGTAATCAAGTTATCTGGCTTAACAAAAATACATTGGCTGTTTAGGATCTAGTTCCCTTGGCTAAAATTTGGGATAAATATTAGAAATTTAAATGTAAAAGTTAGTTTAACACTGTCAAAGATGTTACCTGTTCTGTCTGTCTAAAACTGTGTATTTCATTCGAGAACCAAGAGAAGAGACGGGGAAAAACTTAAAGACTAACAGAAGACCTGTCTTTAAGGGTAAGGGGTAAACAGGCAGAAGTGCAGTTCAGCTGGTCATGCATGGTGAGGCAGGCCCTGGGAGGAGTCCACGCATGGTGAAAGAGGGCAAGCTGGCACAAACGCAGTTCATCTAACCCTAAAGAGTCGGATTGGGTGTGTGCCCATTCCATAGAAGGGGCTGAGTTG